AGTGCAACACTACCGGTCGACCGGTAGTGTGCACACCGGTCGACCGGTTTCCATATGATCCGGTCGACTGGACAGGTCGGCCGGTGGAATCAGCTGCGCGAGAGAAGCTCACGGAAATCAGTCCAAAACCTGTAAATCCAGTCCCAAATCGAGATATTTCAAAGGGAAACCACTAGATCTGGGTTCTAGGTCTTAAAACAAGTCCAAAGAACCCAAGATCTCCAATTTCTACTCTAGTTTTACTCAAAAACCATCAAAATCCGGTTTGAACCAAAAATAAGTTTTGGAATTCAAAAACTTGAGATTCAATAGAGGTTCTTTCAGTAATCTTACCTCGAATCCTTCTCTTGACGTTGAAAACTTCTTTAAATCTTTCCTTGGTTCAAGATCCGTTTGATTTGGGACACAAATGAGAGAGAGAGAAAGCACGGAAGTGAAGAGAGAGAGAGGGAGTGAATGCACGGGAAGGAAAGAAAAGAAAGAAAAGAAAAGAAAAGGAAAGAAAAGAAAAGGAAAAGAAAATAAAGGACAAGTGTCACATTTTAAAATAACAGTCCAGAAATGTGCCCATACACACTCCTGGAAAAATATAAATACTGAGAGTATTTAAATACCTTGGAATTAGTCAAGCTCACACGTGTCAGAAACATTTATTAATTAAACTCAATTAATAATCCAGATTAGGCACACTAATAATCTCAATTACCTTAATTAATCTCAATTAATTCTTCAGGGTGTTACAGTTATTTATTGTGCTAAATTTTTCATATGTTATATTTTGTAGTAAATTTCTCACCAAATATAATATATAGGAAATTTGACATTTAATTGTTATTGGTTAAAATGTTTACTTTTTTCATGTAATCATTGTAACTTTTGCATTTTCTAATTATTTTAAAAATAAAAGTTTACTTTTACAACTTTTAAAGTTTAACGTTTATGAAAAAAAGTAGATTTAACATTTTAAATAGCATTGTGTGCTGAAATAAAAATAAAAATAACATATTATATCATAATTTTTAATATTAAATATACAATTGACATTAACATTTAAATTCACACGCTTGCATAATGCCACATGCGTGTTTTTCCTTTTTCTTTTTTTAAATAAACAAAAAAATATTTTTTTAAATCATACCGATTAAGCCCTTAATTATTACTGTTTATTTTTTTTTGAAGGAAACAATCAATGTTATCCTTTTATTTATTTTGTTTCCTTTTTACTTTTATCTTACTCGTGTTGCGTAATGATTAATGGGCAAATAATATTTGCCATTATTTATTATTTTTTTTTGGAGTTTTTAGAATTATTGTCTCCTAAATTTGTCGTGATTTAATAAATTACTCTTTAAATTTTAAATTTTGATAAGTTACCTTACGAATTTATAAATTTATTTTAATGTGCTCTATTTAATTAAATTTGTTTAAATTTTATTAGATTTAAGAGATTAAAAATTGAAATATTAAAAAATTTGTGTTATATTTAATTTAAAATGTTAAATTTTTTATAAAATGTATTTTTTAACACTAATTTAATATAATTATCATTAAAATATAATATATTGTAACAAAATTATAAATTTAGAGAAGAATTTATCAAAATTAAAATTTGGAGAAGCAATTTGCTGAAGGACGATAAATTTAAGGGGAAAATGTGTTGAAACCCCTATTTTTCCTATAAAAAAAAAACCCGCTACCCGTAAACCCTACCTAGACAAAACCTGCAAACAAACACTTTCCCCATCGCCACCGACTCTATACATCCCTCCCACCGTCAGTCACCGCGCAGCCGGCGAAGACCAGTGCCAGAAGTCCGACCTTCAATGGCGGAAACAACGGAAAACCCAGAAAAACAGACTGAGCACAACCAAACAGAAGAAGAAGAAGAAGTAGAAGACCTGACCTTCGAAGAGCTCGGTCTGGACCCTCGTCTTACTCGCGCCCTCCTCAAGAAGCGAATCCTCAAACCCACTCCCATCCAGAGAGTCGCCATTCCGCTTGTTCTCGTAGGTTTCTTCCACCAACTTTCTGTTTCAATTGGGAGAACAAAATAAATCAAAACTTTGATTTTTCTGGTTTTGGATTTCAGGAAGGCAAGGACGTGGTTGCTAGGGCGAAGACTGGTTCAGGAAAGACCTTCGCATACCTCGTTCCGCTGCTTCAGAAGCTCTTCGCGGCTGATTCTAGCTCCAGGAGTAAGCTAGCTCCAAGTGCTTTCGTTCTCGTCCCCACACGCGAACTCTGTCAACAAGTCTGTTCTTTTTCTATGTCCTAATCTTTTTTTTTTCTCCTTTTCAATTGTAGTTGTTGAAAAGTTGCTCATTTTCGTATTCGGTGAAATGCAAATTGTAGGTTTATGGGGAAGTCTTGTCGCTCATTGAATTGTGCAGAGTTCAACTGAAAGTTGCTCAATTGACGAGCAGTATGTCTGCTTCTGAATTGGTCTGTTCCTGTTCCTTATAAATTATTTCAAAGTATAATTTCTTCGTGGTTATTTATTGTTTAATCATTAGAACATGGCAATGTTAACGCTAATGCTATATTTGACGTGAAAAAGTGCAAAAATGGATGTTTATCATGTTGTTCTATTTTGCAATCTAACGCTCGATGCTATTCTAAATGCTATAAGTACTTTTTGTCATAAATTTTAAGTTTTGGAACTTGTAAGAGGAAAATTTTCAATTATTCAACAATTTAAAAATGACTTTGTAAGTATCAAGTGAAAAAGCCTACGGAACTTGTTTCTATGTTTGTTTCACAACTCAAGTTGAGAACTTGAGTTGTGTATGTAGGAGAAAAACACCCAAGCAAAAAAGTTGAATTTGAATTTTTGTGAGAGAAAGAACTTGAGTTGTGACTTGAGTTGTGAGTATTGAATAATTTAAAAGTGACCGTTGTAAGTATTTAGTGAAAAAGTCTACACATGAACCAGTACCAGTAGCAACCAAATGGAAAAATTTAGTATATGCTATACTTAGCGTCAAATTTAACATCAAGTAAAGATGATGCCAAATTTGACGTTAAGTATATTCGTGCATTGGAGAATACTTTTTTTTCTTAAAAAAAATTTCAATGCCAAATTTTAGCATTAGCATAAAAATTGGCATTGCATTGCGTTGGAGAAACTTTTAGTTGAAAAACCATTTTTCCTGGTCTTACTTTAATCTTGTTTATTGGTATTTGATTCAGAGGAATGCATTGGTCGGGCCACCTGATATTCTGATTTCGACCCCAGCTTGCATTCCCAAGTGCATGTCAGCTGGTGTTCTTCAATCAACTTCTGTTAGCAGTTCCCTTGAGATTCTTGTTCTTGACGAGGTGAGAACTTACTGCTCAATTGAGTGGTGGTCCTTGTTTGTTAAGCATGGGTGATATTGATGGCATCTATGAATTATTCGCGGTTGATGGCTTATTTTCCCTTGAATGAGTGGCTATCTTGAGCTTGAATCTTAAGTTGTTATGAAATTGGTAACTTGACCTTCCGTAATAAAGCTCTACTTTAACAATGGCCGTGGAGATTCTCTAGGGAAGGAGAATCGTTGTGGTGTCAAGTGATAAAAGGAAATATGGGTCAAGTTTTGGAGATTGGGAATCGGGGGCTAGTGTTAAAACGACTTTTAGAAGTCCTTGGAAGGTCATCTATGCTATGCGGGTTAATTTTAAAGCCCATAAGCTGATTGTGGGGAATGTGAGGAGAGATAGATGTTGGGAGGATGGGTGGTGGGGAGGGGATCCTTTTTCTAATCGTTGTCCAAGCCTTTACAGGAGTTCTTCTTTTCACAATGCTGTAATTTCTTCATCCTTCATACCTGATCCTGCGGATAATCATTCTTGGAACTTCCATTTTAGGTGGGAACCTAGTGAGAGAGGGTCAAGTGAGTTGGCAGAGATATTGAGCTGTTTAGAGGGGGTGAGATTAAGTGAGTTTAGGGCTGATAGTTGGTAGTGGGAGTTAGATGGGATTTGTTCTCTTGCAAATCTTTTTTTTTGAGTTATTGATAGATGAAGGATAATACCTCACTTTTAACCTGTGCATTTCTTTTGGAAGCCCTCGGTTCCCACTAAAGTTCAGATTTTTAATTGGCTGCTTGTGTCAAGTAGGCTTAACACGTAGAGTTTGTTGCAAAGGAGGGAGCCTTACCTTTACCTATGGTGTGTTCTATGTAGAAATGCTACTGAGAGGAAGGTTCATCTTTCCTCCATTGCCCGTTTGCTTTGAGAATTTGGCATCGCGTTTTGGGAGAGTTAGGGATTGTGTTGGTTATTCCAAACAACATGGAGGAACTTTTTGGTAGTGATATGATGATCGAAAGGGCTAACACGAAGAAAAGACTATGGAATGAATGTAGTCATCCTTACAGTCTGTGGACTTTGTGGCTTGAAACAAACAATCAAATTTTTGAAGTTACACAAGGAGATAGTGCTGATCTTTGGGATAAAATTGAATATTGGGTGCTTTATGGATTTCCCAATCTAAAGGATGTACTGAGTTTTCATTTTCAGATCTATTAAGTATTTTGGGGTCTGATTTAGACTTTTGGTTTTTGTTCTTTTTTTTCCCCCATGTTTCATGCTTACTTGCTTTGGTGGAACCCATGTCCCCTTTTGTAATTCTTTCTTTTTAATTAATAATACATGCTTCCCGTTTATTATCAAACAAAACAAAAAAAGTTATGCAATTGGAAAATGTAGTGTATCCTTCATTTTTCTTTTCTTCTCATATGCAACTGTCAATTTATCTGTGGACTGCAGTTTTGTTATTTGGATAAGTGAATATACTTGTCTTTTACCATTGATTTTTTTTTTCTTTTTGAAAAGAAACAGAGAATCTTATAAATGAAAATGGAAAAGAGAATCTTGTCTTTTTTTCCCCCCCTTTCCTTTTTCTCTTACCATTGAATTCTTCTTGTAGACATTTTTTTAAAACTTTTTTTTTTTTTTTTTTGTAATTTTCTTGGTAGCATGATTGTTTTGTTTGAGGGGATCATTAACTAATATTCATTTTCAGGCGGATCTTCTTTTGTCATATGGCTATGAAGATGATATAAAAGCATTAACACCTCATATTCCTAAGAATTGTCAGTGCCTGCTAATGTCTGCTACTTCAAGGTGTGTTGCCGAAATTGTTTATGGTGTTGTGGGCGGCTTATTTTATTTTATTTTATTTTTTTGTATTTGTTCGTTTCCCCAACAGCTTATGTGGTGTTTTTTGGGGTTACATTTTTGGAACTTTATTTTGATCCCTAGGTCAATAATGTTTACTCGCTAGCCATTATTTTTCCATGCATTTCTCTAGATTTCTTTTCCCTATGGAATCTAAGGGTGTTGATCCGTACTGATATATGCATATTGGACCTACGATACTTTACAGCACTGATGTTGAGAAACTGAAGAAGCTGATACTTCATAATCCTTTCATTTTGACTTTGCCTGAAGTGGGAGATGTCAAGGATGATATTATCCCAAAAAATGTTCAACAATTTTGGGTAAGAATTCTGGTGTTCTCATTCTAAGTTCTCTAGGTTTATACTTTTGAAGTTAATTGCTCCATTGGAATTTTACGCTATACTTGTTTGATATTTCTTTTTAAGAAGAAACAACTTTTTCTTAAAAAAAAAAAAATTACAATAAAAGTCACGCTTTGCTTTAGAGGACAAGAAGTTCTGAAACAGAATAGAAGCAGCCAAAAGAAGTAAAAATAACTAGACACGCTACTTGATTAATACTATTCTTTATTAGTCCTCTGCAAGATTGTTAGAACTTTCAACTACTCCTCATTCCGCCTTTCCTGTATATTGATAAAGAACTTGTGGCATCTCTAGTGTTAGTGTTCAAATATTACACAATTAGTGTGACATTGAGGAAACCCTTTCAGTTGCCATTCTTTCTGCTTTATTTAACCGCAGGACGTTTATTAAAAATGATATTCAAGTAACAAGAATCAGAGGGTTATAGGTCTTTTTTCCTAAGCAAGGTGAAAACGCACAAGTTTTTATTTTGCATTATGTGTAACATGGAATCTTACACCTTATAGGATTCTTTTAAGATATCACATTCTGTAAATGGATAACTTTTCAGTGTTTTGACTGTTTGTGTGTTATGTTGTAGAACTGATATGTGTTTCTTCTTTTCGGGGAGAAAAGGGGTGGATATAGTGTAATGTAGCTGAACCCAACCCCAATAGTTGGGACTAAGACTGAGTTGAGTTATATTAAATGTCACTGCTCCCTTTTGTGTCATTGATCTTTTTGTTCTTTGATCTCTAGAGCTTTCAAAATGTACTTTCTTTGCGAGACTACCCATTGAATTATGCTTGAAATGAACAATTAAGAAGTGAACACATTTATCTTCTTTTCTGTCGTGGCCTAGATATCATGCAGTGCTCGAGACAAGTTACTTTATGTCCTCTCCCTCTTGAAGTTGGAGTTGGTTCAGAAGAAGGTTTTGATATTTACTAATACAATCGACATGGGATTCAGATTGAGGTTGTTTTTAGAAAAGGTATGATTACTTCTTTTCATAGTAGTTTTATATGCATAGTGCGAATTCTTGTGTAAGTTCACCCCTCCAGGGGTTGTTTGGAAGCCATACTCAAACCCAAATTATGAGTCTGCTACAGTGTTTTTTATCTCACAAAGAGTTTGAATTCCAAAATTTCCTCTCACAAAGTTCCCGCCAATGAACCCAAATCATGATTTGAGCAGTATACCTTCCAAACGGGCCCTCAAAGTCTTTTATAATTTGGTAATAAATGTGTAGAACTAATTATGTCCAGACCAGATGGATAGAGGGATTTGGTCATTTTGATAGTACATCTTTGTAATCAGCATCCTTTTCGCACATTGTTAAAGTCCCTTTTTTAGTCTTCTTTATTTGTTAATAGTTCTTCATTTGCAGTTTGGAATTAAATCTGCTGTCCTAAATGCCGAGCTGCCACAAAATTCTCGTCTTCATATTCTTGAGGTACACAACATAGTCCAATTTAATTTAAAGTTTGGTTGTATTTTTTATCAGATCATGTTATTGCATGCTGGTTAGCAGCTAGTCTACTGTCCTAAGACCGATCTTTACTTAGTTGTTTTTCACTTTATATGTGCTAATATAGAACTGTCTATCATCTTTGAATTTCAACAGGAATTCAATGCTGGGCTTTTTGATTACTTGATTGCAACTGATGATAGTGAAGTAAAAGAGATGAAAGATGTCAATGGAGAGAGTAATACTAAACAAAAGAAGTCTAGAAAGCATGTCAAGCAAAAATTGGACTCTGAATTTGGTGTAGTGCGAGGACTTGACTTCAAAAATGTGTATACGGTATGTCAATGCTACGCAATATTGTCGTTTCTTGAACCAAGTAATGTTCTCAACTTTTGTCGTATCATAAATGATAGGGAATCCGAAGACATGATTTCTCTTCTTTAGGTTTTGGAGTCTTTTACTCCTAGACCCCCCATTCCAGACAAAAGAATTTTGGTTGTGTGATCCCTTGGGTTTTTCTTGTAGCTCTTATTTTCTCAATATTGTTGATAGAAGAGTAGCCGATTCTTTTAATTCGTTTAATTTTATTTGGAAATCCAGTGTTCCTCATAAGGTTAAGCTATTCAATTGGCTTGTTTTTCTTGGAAAACTTAGTACTTGTGATATGGTTCAAAGAAGGAAACCCCAAAGCCTTTGGGCCAAAGGGCTCTCTTTCCTTCTTGGTGTGTTTTGTGCTAAAAAGCGGGGGAATCATTAGACTACATTCTTTTGCACTGTCCTGTGGCTAGGGACCTATGGCAAACGACTAGTTATGGAGGCTAGGTTTACTTGGGTTTTTCCAGCCCATTGTAAATTCCTGATAGAGGAAGTGATGGTTTTGGTTCAAATAAGAAAGCAAAGGTCCTTTGGAGATGTATGCTAATTTCTGTTATGAGAGTCCTGTGATTGGAGAGAAATGCACGCGTGTTCGAAGACAAAGAAATGGGAATTGAAGATTTGTTGAAAAGGCTAAATTTTCAGCTTTGCTTTGGGCAGTATCGGACAGAGAATTTAAAAGCTTTCCTTTCACGTTGATTATTCTAAATTGGGGGATGTAATTGATTGTTGATCTTTTGTGACTGTCCTTTGTTTTTCTTTTTTCGTCTTGTTTTGATTTGCTCTCATTTTTGTTTTGAGGACGCTTGTCCTCCTCCTTTGTATTGATTTTCTATTCAATATAAAGTTTTTTCTTATTAAAAAAAAAATTGATATGCCATTTCCTTCTTTTTCTTTTTCTTTTTCTTTTTTAAAGAAAATGTAGGGCAAATGATTTTTTTTTCTTTAATGACACCTGACTGGCTTGCCTCTTTTGTAGGTCATTAATTTTGAAATGCCTCGAAGCTCTGCGGGATATGTTCATCGTATTGGACGTACTGGAAGAGCATTCAATAGCGGCACCTCTATCTCGCTTGTGAGTTTCCTTGCACTGACTTAAGATGATTTTGTGCAAGGGAAAACATTTACTTAACAGAATGGGCCTGCATGGCCATCATTGTCAAATTTGTTATAACCATTAAATGTTATAACTTCATCAAATTGTCACACCCTCTATGTATATGTGAAGCAAAAGACATTAAGGGTCCGTTTGGTTCACGCATTCAAGTCAGTGATTTTGATCCATTGGCGGGAACTTTGTGAGAGAAGAAATTTTTGGATTCAAATTCTTTGTGAGATGAAAAATACTTTAACAGAATCAGAATCATAGGTTCAAGCATAGGACACAAACGAGGTGTAAATTGAACTTAACACTCACACATGCTTACTCTGCCTGTTTGAAGATGATAGTAAGTGTACCCACCATCAGGCTTTAACAATGAACATCCGGGCATAATGGAATTATTTGTGGGAGAAAATTTCGTGTTGCAATAGCTAATAAGCTGTAGGCCTTTCGAGTGTTAGGTCTCAAGTTCAAGATGCTCTTCTTCTTTTTGCTTTTCTATAGGTTTTACATAGCCACAAGTTTTCTCATATCAATGTATTTGTACGCTGGTTAAATAGGCTGGATTGTAGAAATGATGAATTTAAGTAGATTTGGCATTTTCCATGGTCATGCAATTTCCAATTTTCCCGACATTGTTCTAAATAACACTTGCTCTTTTAACAGGTTTCTCTAGAAGAGATGGAAATTCTTGACGAAATAAACTTCTTTTTAGGCAATGATGGAAACAAGGACGAAAATGTGATTGCCCCTTTTCCTTTACTTACGAAGAATGCTGTGGAGTCGTTACGGTATAGAGCTGAGGTGGGTTTTCTGATTATGTCATAGAAAGCTATTGAAGCATAGTATGCAGGGATTTGTGAGTGTTTATGTTACTGTGTTTTCTAAGATCGGCTTTTGCTATTTTATATATTAGATACATTTTCTGCACCAACATTATTTTTTTCAACCAATTTTGATCTGGGAGTGTGTTTCTCTATCATTCAAACATTCATTGGAAAGAAAAATAATAGGAGCTGGGTTTTCTTCATCTGAATGTGTCGGCCAACAAATGAGCTATGAAGAGCTCTGAAGAAAACGTAATTTGAGTTCCTAGCAAGTAGAAATCTCAGGGTTAGCTCTATTTTTAACAGTTTCTCCTATAAAACATGCAGCTGCACGCATAAAAAGATAGATGGTTTTTCTTTGTTGATTTTGCATGCCATAGTCTGATATAGCTTCTTTGACTTTTCGTTCTTTGCTTTTGGCATGGAGTCATAGACCCTTTGACATAAAAGATATTAGTGCTGAATCTGTGTTTGCAGTTTAAGTACTAGTTGTTAATTTCTTTCTACCTTGTTACCCTATTTATTGAGATGACTGCCAAGGAAACTAACGCAAAGCAGCGACTATTTACAGGATATTGCAAAGAGTGTCACAAAAATTGCTGTCCGAGAGTCACGAGCGCAGGATTTAAGAAATGAAATTCTCAACTCTGAAAAGTGAGTGTCAACTTGTCATGAGAGCTAAAAAAATTCCTTTATCCACTTAAAGCTGTTATCTCCTCATTTCTTAGTCAAAAATGTTTTATTCCGTCTTTCGTGGATTTCTTCTACCACATCTTGGGATTGTTGTTTTCCTGATCATTTGTATTTTCTGTATCTTTAGGTTGAAGGCTCATTTTGAATCTAATCCCGGGGATTTAGGTAAAGTAAATTTATTGCTCAGTTTGAACTTCTTTCCATATTAGATTTCCTTATGATAGAGTTGGAAGCAAATGATTTTAACAGATTTGTTGAAGCACGATAAGGTCCTAAGCAAGAAGCCCCCCGCCCCTCACCTACGCAATGTTCCCGAGTACTTAGTGGACCCAACAACTCAAGAAGCAAGCAAGGTCGTTAAGCTTGCTAGAGCTGCCATGGGAAATACCAATGCCAATGGCCATCGTGGATCCAAAAAAACATTCAGAAGAAATAAAGATCCTCTAAAGACTTTCTCTGCTGAGGTTATTCTAGATTTTCCCCCTCGTCTATTTTTGTTTAGCTATGGAAATTTCCCTGATAATTGTATGTGCGTTGATTAAATTACAAAAATGCTAAACTACCCGGCTTGGGGAGTTGGATTGTGAGAAAGGGGGTGGCCCCACAGAACGTCCATCCTCTCTCAGAGCCCGACTCATCCTAGTCATATAAGATTGCTCATTAAATGTGTCAACAAATATCATGGAGATCGTTACTAAAGGATTCGTATTCATTTGATAGCAGGGACCTAAAAAAGGTCATAGAGGGATGAAGAGAGGAAGAAGCGGCAATGACGTAAAAAAGGACAAAAAGAAGAGATCTATCTGATTTATTTATTCAGCCATTTCAATTCTGCTTTTGTTTTTTTGGGGATCAGTATTGTTCCCTACAATTTTGTATGAAATCAGTGTTTATAATTAGCATCACCAGAAGCATAAAACAAAGCTAAGAAGATAAATTTTGTTTAATTACAAGAGCATGTTGTGATGTGTAGTCTACGACACCCAAGGCAATTTCTTAGTATTCTTTTCCTGCAGGCACCTTTTTTTTTTATTATTTATTATTTTTCCCACATTTAGAGCCATGATCACAATTATTTCCATCATTTGTGGTGTATTTTGTTACTACTCCATACAAGATATCCCATAATGTTTATGATTAATAATGCATTTTTTTTCTTATAAAAAAATAAAGCATTAGTTTATCATATTTAATACTACTCGTTAAGGATGAGTACTGTTAAGAAAAGTTTCGTGCATTAATTAATCCATCCAGATACCTAGTCTCTGGTGGTTTATTTGAGCGTGATCTCATCATTATATTTTAATATGTTCCTTTTTTTGGTTTGTTTTTTTGCTACAATAATATGTCTTGTGGTTGATGATGCTAAGGTGAAAGTCTCAAAACATAATTATCAAATGGGTAAAAGTAAATCAGCAAAAAAAGTGGATGAAAACTATAGAAAATGAATGAATTTGATTGCAAATGTCATTCATGAAGAAATCATTTTCATTTCAGGTATCAATTTGAAGGTTAGTCTTATTGGTCATTTCAATGGAGTTACAATTTATTTAGTAGATGCTTTGTAAGAGATGAATGTGATATAAGATAATCTTGCACATATATATAGAAAGATTCTTCTAAAGGTGGGAACCTTAAAGTGAATAATGTACTACTGATAGACAATCATATAATTACTCAAAGGTATGAAAATTGTAACATTTCAATTTTGGTATAAATTAGTGGAACTTGATATTTTGTGAAAAAAGAAAAATTGGAGAAAGACAGTGGGAAAGGTTTTACATTAAAAAAAAAGTAACTTGAGTATTCTTTTTATTTTTCTTACTTTCTTAGGTTGATTTCTTCGATTGTTTTTAGGTATTAATTAATGACTTCAGTTTGTAAAACCTTTTCTTCCATTTCTTTTCCGTTTTTAATAAATTATTTGCTTATACGTACAAGTCATTAATGGACAAGGACTGAAGGAGTCTTGATGGGGGTATTAAAAAAGACTAACAATTAATTAACAAAAGGGTATACTCGAGCCAAAATAAAAAAAAAAAAAAAAAAGGTGTACCAACTGCTATTTTGTCCCAGTTCATCACTCGTCCTGATGTGTTTAGGCAATCTTACCAAATCAATTACTATGCCGTCATATACTAAAAAAAAAAAAAGGTGTACCAACTGCTATTTTGTCCCAGTTCATCACTCTGTATAACGCCCATGACTTGGGCAGTTGATTTATGATCGCTATTTATAATATGCATGGAGTAGTTAGGAGCTTGTCCTGATGTGTTTAGGCAATCTTACCAAATCAATTACTATGCCGTCATATACATTGTGTAGAGGCTAAAATATATTAATTTAATTTGTATGAGAACTATGCAGATCACTTGTGAAATTAGGAGAAAGATCTGCAAAATAAACGTTAGCGCTCAGCCCTGTATTGAGAAAGAATAATAACAAATGTTAGAGAGAGAAAAATATAGTGGAATATTATAAAGTATCATAGGTCTATCTTAAAGAGGATTAATCGCATACAAATAGTTTTTGAGGTTTGATCTCAATCCTATTTTGGTTCATGACTTTTAAAATATTAAATAGTTAGTCCTTGAAGATATATTGTATCTCAGTTCCAGTCATTGTGGCTAAGTGTTAAATATTTGACAAAATTTGGGAAAATTAGGGATTAAAATTGAAAAAATCTTCCCATAAAAAAATAGAAACATCTAGCGTTTAGAGCCTAAAAAAAAAATACAAAAACTAAAACTTAAATTCCACATATTAGTCCATAAAATTTAGTCGTTTTCAATTTTGGTCTCTAATTTACATAGATTTTGTCAAATATTTACCATTAAGTTAACAAAATGACCAAAACTGAAACAGATAAAATCTAAAGGACCAACTGTAAGACGTTTAAAAAGTCATGAACTAAAATGGAGATTGAGAAACAAATCTTAATAACTATTTGTGAAATTAACCCAAATAAAGACCATTCGAGGGTATTTATTAATTGCGATAAATATAAGTATTAATTAATAATCTCAATAGATTTAGTTTCTTGATTCTTGATTGTAGTGTTTTTTCTTTCTTTTTTCTCTCTCTCTCTTTTTGTTTTTTTTGTTTTTTGTTGTTGATTTAGCTAGGGGTGGGGATTTTAAATAGTTAGATCTGAATTTATTATTGGATTATATCTGCAACCACTCCTGAGTGTAGTGTTTATCTTCTTATCAAAGTAAGAAATCATGATAAGAATAAAATCGAACCTCTTTAAATCATTGTCCATTTCTATATCAAATACGTATTCTGATAGGGACGATATGTATCCAATAATAAATATATAATATCAACAATCTTTGCCTATATATATATATATGTGTATATATGATCTTTGCTCTCTTGAAATCCACAACACAATTGATCAGTAAACAGTAACTTATAAGAGCAACGTCTCATATTCTTCAATCAATACCATAGTATCTTATTATCGCATATGATGGCGTCAACACAACTGCTGCGTACATTGTTCATGCCTAAGGCGATCTCCGACACAGTGCGTCCTCAAGTGCTGATTTGCAAGCCTTACTACCGCAACAACGCTTTCACGTAATTAGTTTGAAGCATTTACTTCTCATTTTCTTGTTGTTAATTATGATTAAAACTAAAAGATGAGAGGGAGTATACATTTTGTCAATGTTTGGAGTTGGTTTTGTTTTTATTTTTTACTTTTTTCGAGAGAAAAAAATGAAAATCGGAGAGAAACGACTTTTGGCACAATTACAGATAAAAAACGAAAATGAAAACAATTTGTTGGTTTAGTGTAAAATGAGAGATAAATGAAAAAAGACTTTTAGTCATTTTTTAATTTTTGTTTCCGTTTTCTCCTTTCTTGAGCACAGAGAGAGAGAGACATTAATAGATTTTTTAATATTGAAAATAATCTTTTGATAAAACTACCAAACACATTTTCAAAAATGATTTTTGTCTAAGATTGAAAACATTTTCATTTCCATTTTCTTACAAAAAACAAAATTATTTTGGAACGAGTTCCAAATGCACCCTTTCCCTTTAAAATAAAAAAGTACTGCTCGTCGTATGCTTTCCTCAGAGAAGCATAACAATTTTTTTTTCCTCTTAGTTTCGTCATGATGAATTATTCAGTACACCAAGTGTACCGCATCATCATGCTACGTGGTACACCCATCCAATAAAACCTTGACATTTGAATCATTTTTCAATGTTAAATTTACTTACTCATCTTTCTCTCATCATGAGGCATGATGTCGTGGTACACCCGGTATACTGAAAAATTCATCCCAATAAATTACCACGTAGGTATCATTGAATTTTGATGTTGTAGCCAATAAATTATGTACTCTAGTTCAACATGCTCTCTAATCTTTGAAAAAGGTTCAATTCTCCACGTAAATAATGTTTCATGTTCAAAATACCTCTCCATATACAATACTAACAAAATGATCATGACATGAACACTACTGATATAATTTTATAAACGCCTCTTGATTTATTCATTCTCAATTATTGATTTGTCTCACTATATATACCTTGTGAACTCTTAAAAGATTAGGGGTCAAATTGATACAAAATCAATAGTGGGGGAATTTATGAAATTATATATCATGAATTAAGCAGGTGTTTATAAATGCATTTCAAAATTCTATGAGCATGTTATATAATGTTACATAGAGAGGAATATAGGGAGGATTTATGAAACTAATACTTTATTATTTCAAGTAAGAAAATTTTCAGAATAATATTGTTTCTGCACTACAGAATACGTGCTGCATCGTCTTCATCTAAAAGACCACCCATCAGAAAAGGCAGCGGTCAGAAAATTAACAGTACCGCGAGTGATAATAAGGATTATTCCGCAAGCTCCATCTCTGACCGAAAAGATGGGAAGAAGAATGACGAAAAGGCCCCTGATGCTACTGCGGAGAAGAGTTGTGAGGCTATTGAGAAATGATTAGTAGGAGTAGCAAGTGTGTTGTGTATTTATAATAATAATGGATCATCATATATCCATAGTTGTGGCGAATGAATATATGATCAAAATATTGATGTTAGAGATGTTTCCGTGTGTGTCCCTATATTAGTTATAGAGTTATTGCAATCTTTCATTACTTAGGCCTTGTTTTTAACAGTTTCTAATTTAAAATAAAAGTATATTGATCTCTTTGTTTTGCCAAAGTTTTTATATCACTGATTATTCGTTACTTGTTCTTAGATATAAAAGCAAATACAAAAATCTGAAGATTACAACCGGAGGGGTACAAAACCAATAAACACCGAAACCAGGCAGCAGCCATCTATGACGAAACATAATTTAAACTTAAAAGAGAACATAATAATTCAAGAAAACATATCTAGGCATGGTTAGAATTAGTGCTTATAAAGCATGTTTTTATAATCTTTTTATGACATTACGAGAAATAACATATTGCATTTCATTAATAAATTATATAGGAAAATTAGGCTGGACGGCCCACTTATAACTCTTATTTAAGTGGATCGACCATCTTTTTCAATACTACTCCAATGGCTTTTTTTTTTTTATTCAATTAGTTATGGATCGCGGTCAATCAATGATAGACTGAGATTAATAAGTGATATACTGAGATTAAAATAGTTTTTTTGTCAACCAATGATAGACAATGGTCAATCACTGATAGATCAAAGTCAATTAGTGATATATTATAGTTAATCAGTTATAGACCTTAAACAAAAGAAAAAATCCAGAAGGCAAAATCAGTGATCAATCATTGATACACTGCTATCAATCATGGAGAGATCCCAGTGATAGACAACACTCAATTAATGATAGACTCTGAACAAAAAAAGGAAAAAAAAGGACCCAAAAGTCGCAGTCATGTATCAAATTTTAAAAAGCTTAACCATTTATCTAAATTGAGCTCTTAAAGGGGCATATTTGCGATAATTCCCAATTATATATTTGTTGTCTCTATTATACTTATGAGAAATATCATAAAGATAATATACTA